GCTTGGCTGTGGGAGCCCCCTGGGCTCTGGGCTCCTCGGGGAGACCTTGCTGCGCAGGCGCAGGCATGATTGCCAATAGCCGGAGTGCGGTCACGCACACAGCAGGGCCTGTCTGTTTGGATTCTTGGCCTCTCTCTGCAGCATTCCTCCTCCAGGGTGTGCGAACAGGACCCTCTGGAATGAGGAGCATCCTGTGACCTCCTACCTGACAAGCAAGCTTAGGTCAGAGGGTTTCTTTATGGCCAGATCCAGCAAATCCTAGTGTCTTTGGCTTGCCTTGGAGGCTGGGGGAGTTTTGAGCCAAGAACCATAAAAAAACCCCAAAGCCAAAAAATACCCGCCCCCCCAAACCCGGATAGGTAATAGTGAGGTACCTGGATATCTTAGTTACTTTTCTCATCGCTGGGACAAAATGCCCGACACCCAAAGTTAAAGGAGGGAAGGTTTATTTCGGCTCACAGCTTATAGAGGTTTTAGTTCATAGTCGGTTGGCTCCCAGGCAGGATGTCATGGCAGAGGGGCGTCGCAGAGAAAGAACAGTTCATGAAGATCAGAAGACAGGAAAAGCAAGGGATAAGCAGCAAGAGAAGAGAACACAACTCTTTCTGTCCCTTATATTTTACCCTCTTAAGGGCGAATAGTACTCAGATCCATAATCCTGGTATCTCACCATAATCCTAGCAGCTCACTGTGAATCAGTCCCAGCATCATGCCCTTGATCCCAGCAGTACAAACCCTATATCCAGCCATCTCCAAAAAGCCCCACCTACGACCGACCGGATGAGGCTTTGGGGGGACATTGAAATACAAGCGGTAACACTGGAGACAGGCAGATCCATAGAGAAAAGAGTACTATCAGGGTTAAGGAAGGGAAATGGGGAATTCCACTGTTTAGTGGGTGTGGCATTTGTTTGGGACGATGAAAAAGTTTGGAGATGGGTATTGACCACAGTTATATGTCACTGTGAATGCATTCAGTGGCACTGAATCATACACTTACAAATGGGTAAATGGTTAATTTTGTGTTACATGCATTTTGCCACACTGATAAAAAGAAGAGACTAGCAGAGATAGGTCAGAAGAGAACATACCCACTGAGGCTTGTGGAGACTTGGTTTCTTCTTCTGTGAGATGGTAGCAGTAGTGCTGACTGCAGGATGGAGGGTCTCAGAGAGATCAAGGTCAGCCCCAGCGCCTGGGACATAGTAGCTGCTTAACAAATGGCAGGGAGTTTTACTACAGGTGGCTACAGGCATCTCCCTTCCCTGGCTTTGCATCACTCTCATTCTTTCACCAGGTATTCAGTGGGCTTCTGCTGCATGCGGGCTCTGTCCTGCGGGTAGTGTGACAAGCAGAACCTGCTTCCTCCTCTCCTGGCACTTGGTTTGCACACACTGTAGGAAGGAAGCACATGTCATTACAAATAGGTTGATGAAGGAAGAGATATGGCTGCAGGAGAGAGAAGTGTGTGTAATTTAAGGAGCCAGTGAGGTTTCTTTAGGGTAGTGGAATTTAAGCCAAAGCCAGAAGGATGGGAAGGACATGGTCATGCATACTGCTGGAGTGAAAGCCATCCGGGCAGATGGTAAAGCACATGCAAAGGCCCTGAGGAGAACTGAGCTAGTTGTTCGAAGGACTAAGAGAAGCCCATCCTCTGTGCGTGGCTTTGGATCCTGGACAATGGGGACAGGTCAGGGGACAGGTCATTCGAAGAGCTTTCTGCCTGTGCCAGCTGTCATCTAGTGCCTTTAGACTCACTTGCCTGTCACTGTCCTGTGCCCAGGCACCTCTGAAGTTGAGAGAGCACTAGTGAGTGGGTGTGAGGAGTGTCAGGCATGTGCCACGATCCAAGCCTGTGGACACCCTCACCTTCCATCTATCTCCCCACCTTTCACCTCTTGGGGTCCAGGGCCACACTGCTCCACTGAAGCACTGGGCAAATCATTAAGCATTCTGTGCCTCAGTTTCTCTATCTGTGAGATGGGGACGATAGCGTGGAATGAGTAGGAGCAAATGGCTTGGTACTAAGTAAGTACCTAAGTGGTGGTGGGTGTGAGCCCCATGCTGGGTACAGACACACTGGCACTGCCAAGCTGCTGGTAGCATCTCTGTGGCAGTGAGTGTTTGCAGGAGGTCAGCCTGGCATGGAGGGCACAGGGCATCTCTGGAGCCAGGCCGCCAGGCCTGCACTCTACTCCGTTGGCCAACTCCTTAACCTCCTCTGCTGCACCTCAGCCTCCTTACCTGCAAAACGGGTAGTAACCATCCTGTTCAGGGTTGTTGTAAGAATTGAGTTAGTTACACAAAGTAAGAGCAGTGCCACTTGAGTATTGGCTGCTGCTGTCGCTTCTGTCACGGAAGGTACAAGGATGGTGCATAAGGCTCTGTCAGTGCCCAGCATCCAGAGGGCTGTTTGAGGTATGCCAGGGGAAGGCCTGGCCGAGTCCTGGGATCTAGTGCCATCGGTTCCCGAGGCGGACAGATGACAGGGCTGGTACCGAGGGCCCTGCAGACACTCCCAGGGGCTGCCCCTCTGCAGAGCGAGGCTTGACAGCTTGGGTCCCCACGGGTTAGTGGGGTAGCCACTGCGGGTGGTGCCAGGCGTGTGGGCCCATCGGGCACAGGCCAGAGTGGCAGGGGCCCTGGCGCTCCTTGGCACGTCCCAGGCTTCTGAGAGGGTGGCCAGGGGCCAGCATGCCGGAGGGAAGGAGAGAGCCTTTTAAGGAAACATTTCTCTTCCTTAGAAAAAGAGAGTGAGCAGAGAAATGCTGAAACACACAACCCAGTCTACTGAAACACACAACCCAGTCTGTGGGCCGGTGGCCGGCCGGCCTGGAATGCGCAGCTGTGGGCCGAGGGCGGGAGGGCTCTGGGGCAGCGGGCGGGCCCTCCGCGGGGAGTGACTGCTCCCTTGTCCAGGTCCTCAGGCGGGACACCTGGGCCACCTTCTCCCTGCTGCTTCAGGGAGGGCCTGGGAGACTCTGTAATCGTCCTTCCCGCCCCTCCTCAGAGTACATCTGTCCCCCCCACAGCCTTGACTGTGGCGGCGCCCCTCCCCCGTCACAGTCTCCACGCAGGGTCCTGACAGCCCCAGCACCACTCTGAACCCTGGAGCACGGTGAGGGTGCTGTCCTACCCACGCTCCTGGGACCCGTGGTGACAGGACTGTGGAGGCCTGGTCCGCTTCTGGAAACCTCACAGCCCCACAGCGGGGTTCAGGGCTATGTCTGGCAAAGACAGCAGTGCCCCTGGGCTGAGACTTTGATGGGCACGGCAGGCAGGGAGTCCTGTAGGCCACAGGCAGCTCTGGAGACTTTCCTTACCTCCCTGTCTCTTCCACATGCACCTCTCCCTGGGCCCTGACCCACAGATGCTTCATCTCAAACAATCACTCCGAATCCTGTGCTTGGGTGTGTTGGGAGCCCTGGGCTTCTGGGAGCAAGCTCCCCACGAGTTTCCTCATTCTTCTGCAAGTGGGGCCATGAGCGATGAGGTCCCTTTCATACTGCATCTTGGGAATCAGCCCACCTGGGTTCAAATTCCAGCCACTTACCATCTGTGTGACTTTGGGCAAGTTGCTTTGCCTCTCTGTGCCCAACGCATCTCCACTGGGGATAAAGCAATAATATCTACCTTACTGGATTGGTGAAAGTGAGTTAACATAGAGAAGGCATTTATGGTAATGCAGACCCAGTGATAGCTGTTGAGTAAAATTCAACATTAAAATTCACTTCAGAGCTGGGTGTGGTGGTGCATGTCTGTAATTCCATCACTCCTGGAGGCTGAGACAGGAGGATTGCAAACTGAAACCCAGCCTGGGTAATTTGCTGGGGAGTCAGCTCCTGTAATGTGATTGGCTCGAGAACCCAGAGATGCTAACTCCTGGCCACTTCTATCCTCGGAGCTTGGGGTACACTGTCATAGGGGTGTCCTCATCAGGGCTGGCGTGTCAGGCCTGGGGATCCCCTTGGGCTGGTGGGACCACAGCACAGGCTCAGCTCGGGTGGCCCTGGGGACCATAGCACTGTGGGCTGTGGGCTCTCACATTGGCCCTCCCTGGGGCAGCAGGCATGGAGGGGTTGCTCACTGTCTGGGGAGGCAGTGGCCCCCTAGTAGGTCACCCACAACTTGTGCCCAGACGCCCTCATGCTCGGTGGCGGGCGGGGGGAGACCTCCTGCTGTGTCCCTTCTGCAGGCCCCTTGTCTGGTGTTCAGGTCAGGAATCAGAGCCAAGGTTGCACACTGAGCTCCAAGAAAAACGAGTCCCAGCTAGCAAAAAGGAGCACATGGATCTCTGATAAATGCCCCTGCTAATTGTCAGGGTGACGTTTGGCTGCCTGGCCTGGGGCAGCGGCGGGGAGGGGGTGTGTTATCTTAGGGAGAGGAGTTGGAGCAGCCAGGGAGGCCTCCTCCCACCTCCCTTGCCTCTCTCCCTGGCCTTCCTCCGGACCGGAGAGGAAGAAGAGGAGGAGGAGGATCTCCCACAGTGGGTGCTGTTGCCCCTCAAAGCCTTCCACATTTTGTCCCCTGGCCAGTAGGAGCCTTCTCCTTGGCCCAGGGGAGACAGCAGAGGGTGATTTTACCTTTCCTAGAGGCTTTGGTAACAGTTTGTCATCATTTAAAGTTCTTACCATATTGTTGAAAATTCAGAAAACAGCACAAAGGAAAAGAAATCCTTATTCTTACTACTGTAACCCATTGTTACTAAAATGCTGGTATGTTGCGCTCAAGCCTCAGTGTCTAGGGCTTTTTGCAAAATTTTAACTGTGACGTACGTTTCACACTTGCTGTCTGTATTCCCTTCCTCTGTTTAGGAATTGCTGCCTAAGCATTGCTCCCCATTTCTGGAGCTTTTGAAGACCCTCAGCTGTGATGATGCTGCCTGTGTCTCCAGGGAAGGGGCCTCTTGCCAGGAGGTGGTGGCAGTGGGGATGGTCCCAGGAGACTAAGTCTACGCTCACAAGAGATGCTAACCTGGCCTTTCTCTGCTCCTCCCACAGGTGGCTGCCCCCTGCGTTCCTCCGTCCAGCCATGAACTGGTGGTGAGTAACAGCTGTCCCTTCCCTTGGCAGCCCATCCTGTGGCTCCGCAGCTGCAGCTGACTTTGGACCCAAGTGTGTCGGGCAATTAAGTGTGGTGGACGAGGGTCAGCATCCCTGGGCTGAAGCTGGACAGGGAGGAAGTGAGTCATGAGGTCCCCTCTGGTGAGATGCAGGACAGCTCTTTCCAATCTTGAGACTTCAAGTACTTGGAAAAACCCATAAAAGGGAATTTTGTGTGTCTCCAGGCCTGGCCAGGTGCCTGTGGTTCCAGGGTTTAGAGGACTTGGGGTGCTGCGGCATCTCCTTCCACCTGCCTGGTCCCAGGTCAAGTACCCTTTGCCCGGAGGCAGGGGGATGGACAGCATGACCCACAGAGTCCATCCACCTGGTCAGTTTATCACATAGAAGAGGCCTCAGCTTTGTCCCTAAGCTCCTGGGCTCAGCCGCCCCATCCCCCCATAAATGCCCCTGCTAATTGTCAGGGTGACGTTTGGCTGCTTAGCCTGGAAAAAATCCCCAGACATTGAGGCTTGAGCTCAACACACCAGCATTTTAGTAACAATGGGTTACAGTAGTAAGAATAAGGATTTCTTTTCCTTTGTGCTGTTTTCTGAATTTTCAACAATATGGTAGGCTTCCAGAGCCTGGACTGGAAGAATCCCTTGAAGGCGTGGGCTATGGTGAGCACCCTGTTGCAGACTGATCCCAGCTGGGCTGGCAGGGAATATTGACAGCACTTGCTCCCTGCCCTCTTGTTCCCTCTCACCCTTCACTCGAGACAGGAGGGCCTCTGGGGGGCTGCAGGGGAAGGGGTCTGGGGTGTGCAGCATGTGTTGGAGGTCTGTCATGGAGAGGCATCATGTGGGCACAATCCCACGGGCCTGGCCAGGGTACCTGTCTGGTGCCGATATTGGCAGAGTCTAGGGGTGAGGCAAAGTGTCCTGGGGAAGATACAGGTATCGCCCGGACCCACACGGTCACCTGCTCCATCCATGCACCAGACTCCTGGTCAGGTCACCTGCTCGCTCTCATATCCACTCAGTGTGGGCTGGTGGGCCAGTCACTCTTTCTTTCTGGTCCTTGGTTATCCTTTCTATCTAAGAGAAGATCGGATTAGATCTCAGTGTGGAGACATGCTGTGCCTTCTCTCCCTCTTCAAGGTGGTGACAGAATGAAAGCAAGGTCACAGCTGTTCTTGGGCCCTCAGACCCCTGGGGGCTTGGGCAGTGTCACTGCAGTTCTCCACACTGGGCCAGGTGTTTATCTTCTCTGCAGGGACCCCTCCTCCCGGCTCTCAAGGGTCAGACCCTCTGGGTATCAGCTGCCCAGCCGTGAGCTCCAGATGTACAGTGTTAGTCGCATGGAGCCCTGTCCTGGGTCATCTGACAACAGCAGGGGTTGGAGGCAGGCGCCGTGGGGGATGGGGGGAATGGAGCCAGAACAGCCTGGGTTGGAACTGCCACAGAGAAATGTCCCTGGCATCCCAGAGGAGCAATGGCGAGACCTGTGGAGTGTGGGGGCAGAGTGGAGAGGGTTAAGCATGTTCCCCATATTATGGCTGAACTGTCACCTTGTAGCCGAGAACAGTGTCTTTGGCCAGGTGGGGAGGCTGAGGGTCCAGGATTTAGGGACCCAGGGCAGAGGTCAGATGTCTTTCCACTGGGAGTCTTGTGAGCTTTGTTTATAGGAGGCACCGTCAGGGGTTGGAACAAAAGGGAACAGTTTGGTGTTCCAGCCGGAGGACTGCAGATAGGTTCCAGAAAGGACTCCTGGAATCTGCATGTCTCTGTGATGTGCCCCCACCTGCCAAAGGGGCTCGAGCTTCAGGCGGTTGGACCAGCCCTCTGGTGGCCAAGTGGTGGAGACAGCTGGATTGTCCGCCCAGGGTTTCCCTGCCTGAGTCAGAACCCACCTCCCAGCAGTGAAGAGCCCCAGCATTCTGTGCTCACTTCGGCAGCACATATACTAAGAGCCCCAGTGCTCTGCTCCCTCCCTCTGGGTCCTTGTCCCCCCATTTGCTGCTCCCCACTCCCTAAGTTCAGGTGTATGACCCGCAATACTTCCTTAACCTCTCGACCCTCACCCTCCTTTCTCAGTGTGGTAGCTGTGTCGTGATAGTACCCACCTTGTAAGGTGTCAAAAGAATCAAGTGAGTGAATTAATCCACCTAATCTGAATTCAGAAGCCTCTGATGACTGCCCATCTCACTTGAAGGCAAAGCCTAGGGTCTCCCCCCCCCCACTCGCTGCCACAGTTTACACAATAGCTTTCCTCTCACCTCGCCTCTTACCTCACCTCGCTATGTCCTCTCTTCCTCCCTCCCTCAGTTGCACCTAGCTGGCCTTGCAGACTCTTGGACACACCCAGCATGATGCTGCCTCAGGACTTTTGTACTTGCTGTTTTCTTTTGCCTGGAATGTTCTTTCTGCACGTGCCTGCAAGTCTCTTTCCATCCCTCAGTTCTTTACTCAAGTATCAGCATTTCCCTTCCACAGTGATACTATCTCTCTTCCTTGCTTCCTCATCCTTGAGTACACTGTGCATTTTACTTACTTATCTTTATTTTATTTAAGGGGGCTTCACCCACTGAAGCAGGGAACTTTTCTCTGTTTGTTTTTTTGCTGGGTTCCCACTGTTTTGCACACAGTAGGTGCTTTATATGTGTCTGCTGAATGGCTGGAGGGAAGGCAACCAGCCAGGGGTCTGGTGCAGGTTAGGTGTGCAATAAACAGGACCCTGTGGCTGTGTTACTTGCTGGCCCATGGGGTGACTGTGAGAACTATGGGTGGGGGTCTGAGGCAGGGCAGCTGTCTTTAGCTGGAAGCCCAGTTACTGTCTCCAGGGAGTGGGAAAGTGGCCCAGGGGAAACCAGGAGAAAGTCTGGCTTCCCCTGAGAGCACTCAGCACCTGTTTCCTCATGGCCAAGTGCTTTGAACAGGTTCACAAGAGGGAGGAAAGGGTGGGTTTTTATTTTTCCTTCCTTTTTCATTCACAGCCTGCCCTTCAGCCTCTGTAGGGCTGGTCTCTGGCCTCCCTGCCCCTCCTGTCCCCTTGCACAGTGTGTCTGTCCATGTGTTTGTCTGTCTAGTTTTCTCCCTGACTCAGTGGGACTACAGCTCGTCCTCTGACCTTCTCACTGCTCTTGCTTAAATCTGACCTCCTGGGATTGGGACCCCTCATCTCTGCACCCAGGATTTCTGTCTAGCTTTTGGCTCTGCTGGCCAGACATGTTTTCCAGTCTGTGCCCAGGCCAGCCAGGGAGAAGTGGCTTAATCTTCAACCCATGTTTTCGATTTACTCAACAGATGTTGCCCAAAGGTTTGGGTAAAAGGATTCTAGGGTTGCCCCCTCCTAGGGGGTCCATGGTGGGGTAGGATGGAGGGGGGCCTTGTTTGCCATGAACTCTCCTGATTCTTGGAAAGAGCTGAAGCAGCTTTTTTTTTTTTTCTTCTGAAAAATAAGAGTCAAAGGAATTTCCCACAGATGATAGCCAAATGGGGTGGCCACCAAGGTCATCCGGATGCCAGGCTCCTGGGCGCACATAGCCTGGCATTCAGGAGACCTAGGCTGGGCGTGACTGAGGGTGCAGGCTGTTTCCCCTTGTACAGCCCTTGGAGGGGTCTCAGAGTGTCCTTGTGGAATGACATGGAGCCTGGGGTGGGGAGTCTGGAGGGGCTTGTAGGTATAGGGAAATGGTGATTTCATCTACAACAGTAATATAGCATGCTGCCTCCTGACCTGGGGTTTCACCTTTTTTGGTTTTAGATATTCAAAGTCAGTCAGTCTGAAAATATTAAATGGAAAATCCCAGGAATAAACGATTCATAAGTTTTAAAATGTATGTCATTCTGAGTTGTAAGATGAAAAATCTCTTGATGCCTGGCTTTGTCCTGCCAGGGATGTGAGTCAGTTCTCTGTCCAGTGGATCCGCACTGTATAAGCCACCTGCCTGTTAGTCACTTAGCTACCTCAGATATCAGATGGCTTGTTGTGGTATTACATACTTGTTAGTATCTCTTTACTTAAAAATGGCTCTGAAGCACAAGAGTAGTGTTGCTGACAATTTGGATGCCAAATTTGGATGACAATTTATATGCCAAAGGGAAGCCTAAAGTGCTTGCTTTAAGTGAAAAGAAGAGAATATATATATATAAGGTTCTGTACTATCTGGTTTTAGGCACCCACTGGGGGTCCTGGAACTCTCCCCATAGCTGAGGAGAGCTGTTATAATAGCTACAGTAAAACACTAGCCCCCATTTTTGGAATTTTGTTGCAAGATTAAAAAAAAAAAGCATCCTTTTACTAGTACATGTTTGCAGTACATAATGTTTGCATTCCTTGTGTGAAGTTGGAACATATACATAACACATCTTCATTCCTTTTTTATCCTCTTTCTCTCCCCTCCCTTTAGTGACAACAAAGGAGCGATTCTATGCTTTATTCCCAGTGTCTGCATGAGGAACTGAGGTCAAAAGCCACCGAGCTACTAAAAGGGAGAGTGAGCTCTCAGCTCGGTAGTCTGGCACCAGAATCTACCCTCTTAACCACATATATTAATGACAAATGTCACTGTCACTTGCATATAGCGTCTGAAGCTTTCAGAGCCTTTTCCATGGGGCCTGGGGAACCTGCAGGGCAGGCCTGATTCTGAGCCGGGGAGGCAGGAGGTGGTAATTAGGGGCTCTGGAAAACTAGGTGACTTGTGCACAGTCACATGGCTGGTGGTGGCAGGCAGTGGGTCAGGATTGTACCCAGCTCTGCCTTCTCCCAGGAGCCCTGGTGCTTGCTCCTGATGGAAGTACCCTGTGTTGCCAGGTGCTAGGTTTCTCCAGCCCCTCTTTCTAAACAGCTAATGTCTCTGATTCCCTGTAGGCTTGGGCTTTGGGAGAGGGCCTGTCTGTCCATCTTACCAATGAATAGCTCCTGAACACCATTGCTCTACATGCTGGAAAGTAAACAGGCCCTGGGATTTTAAGATAATTTTCCCAAGGTTCCTCTGT